CGACAATATCCCAACAGACCTGATAAAAGAGAGAAGAGAACCCATCGGGGCCAGAAACGCTGTTGGGATCAATCCCGAAAACAGCATCCCTAACCTCCTCCATACTCGGGAGCTCACAGATGTCGACGAGGTCGACCGAAGGAGGAATGGTGGGAAAGAAAGAAGCGACCGGGGCATCGAGAGCCCCTCTGTCGGAGGTGAAAAGGGTCTGGAAGTGGGTAGTAGCCGACTCCCGAATCTGAGACTCTTGGGTCAGGAATGACCCATCAGCCTCAATACTGTGGATGTGCGACTTAGCACGGTTCTGCCTAACAAAACCCTGGAAGAACCTAGTATTCCGCTCGCCCTCGGCCACCCAGCGAACGACCGCCTTCTGCTTCCAGAAATCCTCCTCCATAAGGAGTAGGAGCTGGTACTCAGCATGGCAGCGGCACATTGCAGTCCTATTCTCCGGAGTGGGATCCAGATCATAGGCCCGCTCAGCCTCCGCATGCGCACTCTGAGCCGCAGAAAGGCACTGATGGAGGTTTCCAAAAACATCCCAGTTCGACTGTCTCAACCTACGCCGCAGTCTGCCGAGCTTCGCCTCGAGATTGCGCATCTCGAAGAGCCCATTCGACTGGAGCCAGGAGTCCCTAACAGTGTCGTGGAAGGAGTGGTGGCGAACCCACATGTTCTGGAACCTAAAGGATGAACGGAGAGGGGTGCTCGAAAATCGACACCTAATGAGGAGGGGTGAATGGTCAGACCCAAATCGAGTGACGTGTGAGACGGCCGTGACCGCAAACACCTTCGACCACGCCTCAGAAACCAAAGAACGATCGAGCCTCTCTTTGAGGTCGTCCCTAACCCACGTGAAGGGATCACCCTCACATCCAGCATCAATCAACTCACAGTCCGCCACAGCTTGAGCAAAGTCCCACATCTCCCTAGAACGATCCGAAAGGCCACCCACATGCTCATCGAGATGCACAAAGATGTTGAAATCGCCACTAACCATCCATGGAAATCCCTCCATACTCTAAACAATCTCACGCAGGGTGTCCCAGAGATCATATCTCCCGACCTTATTACACTTGGCATAAAGCAAGGTGTGGAATATGGGCTCGAAGAGGTGGGCCGAAGAAAGCTCGATATGAAGCACCTGGTCGGTATCTCGGAGGACCCTACAGGTGTAATCACGTGAGTGAAAGAACCAGATCTTATGTAAAGTTTTACCCACGCCCGAGTGGAAGCCAAGGCGCCGTGAGTAATAGTCATAATTAGGGGTGCGAATCAACGGCTCTATAAATCCAGCGAAGTCCAATCTATGATCACGTATGAGAGAATGAGATGAAAGAGAGTGGCCCTATTAGCCAGACTTCTGCCATTCCAAGTAATAGATGTAATAGACATATCAACAGTCGTGAGAGCCACCGGACGTGGTCTGGCTGTGGCGATGCTGGGTCGAGCCACCTGAAGGAGGGGGAGGTGGCAAAA